TCTTTAAAGTATGGTTTAAGCCCTTTCTGAATTAATTTCAACTAATTGCAACGACCTGGAGTGCTACCTTTAAAGGAACACACAGGTTTTAGTAGCTCTTTTTATTTATCCAAAATATCTCCTTGAACTTTACATACCTGTTGGATGAGGAAGTTTATGAGAATTTTTAGACTTTCAAAATTACAAGAAAAACTTATGTTTCCAATTTTTGCAGCTCAAGCAGTTTTACCTTGCTTTGGGTGACTTCACTTTTTGCCCACACAAGGATTAATGTTCTCCTTCCTTTTGGTTCTTTCCCCTTCTTTTTTCCTGTATTAATTTTTGCTGCTGTCAATTTTATTATTGGCAGCTTTTCTGAACAGTTATTTTCTGAACACTGTGCTTTCAGCCAGGATGCAAAGTTGCAATCCTCTGGCTCTTTAGATGGAGAGCAGAAACCCACCAGCTCCTGGAAGATTTTCCTCAACTGAAAAAATACGTGTAATATAAATATATAGATAATGTAACTGTGGAACCACTTTGTGCTTCCATTATTCGGTAAATGAGGGGGGAAAGTTCCCCCAGCTTTCTGAAATTTCAAGTTATGGGTTTTTTCATCCTATAAATCTCCAGCTGTGATGGTGTACAATTCCTGGTTTGTGGGATTGTTTCCAGCTAGAATGAGATGAGCTCTTGTACCTTCCTGCTTTTTGTGGACTGCTTTCTGTTCTACTCTTGGTATCACATCCACCAGTGTGATAATTTGTGTAGGTTCTTGAATATTATAAGGCAAATGACAGAGACAGGTTTGGGATGCCTGGACATTTCCTGGTTGCATCCAGATTTAATCTTCACACCCAAAAGAAGGAGGTGAACAGAGCAATCCATGTGTAGACCAAATAGTAAGGTATTTTCCCTTTAATGGTGACAGGATAGTACCTACCTGGGCAGTAGAATATTGACATGTTTCACTATCCATTTTGGTATCATTTTCTTCAGAGATATGTCAGTATTCTTTTAAGACATGATTTTCCTCCTCCTATTTCCAGTTGTTCCTCCTCATGGCCTTTAAACTTTCTTCGTCACACATATGCTCTTATTTAGAATAATAGAATAATAAAAGCATTAAGATGAGAAAATACCTCTAAGATCATCCAGTCCAACCAATCTTTCCAGATTTCTGAGCCCTTAAGGCTGAAGTTACATCAGCAGATATTGTGGTACAGGTATGTATGTTACATGGGTACAAATATATATATATAACACATATAATAGCTTTCAAAATACTTGTTATTCACATCTTAGCAGGGATCTGGTTATGACAGTGCTAAGAGCACTTGTTAGATGCTTTTTTAAAAATTATTTTAAATTTCTTTAGACTACAGAATCCTTTCCCAGGCTTTGTGCTCAGTGTGCTCAGCTATAGCAGTACCTTTTGCACCTCTGTCTCCAAGAGTTCCTATAAACCTACCGAGGGTATAAAGGAGATTTTTGTGCTTCATAACTTTAGCCATAAATCATAATTTAGCTAATTATTACCAGTTTGTCTTATAGTGGCTAAATAACTCCAGAGGAAAAACTTGAAGAAAGGAAAGGTGCCTTCCCGTTGACAGGTCAAGCCAGCTTTATTCAAGTTTATATGACTGTATTTCGCTGATCCCATTCCAGCAGTTGTTCCTAGAAATCTGTATTTCTGATAGGCTCATATTAAACATAAACAAGTCTTTGTCCTGTGAGTGTCAGTGCTCCTCTCCCAAGTTCTGATATTTGCTGCTGTCATGCAGTACATTATTTTTCTGCTATAGATTAACAAAGCTGCAACATTCGATGCCACAGGCAAATCATGATGTATGTGCAGCCTTAGATCAGGGTGGCAGTGAGTGATGGGTGCTGTGCAAAGCACAGTGTCAAACTCATTCCACAGTGCTGCAGCTGGAGTAGAAAGCATCCCACTGAAAAGACATCATTCTTTATGCAGTTTTGCCCTGGGAGGATGTTTTTTCCAAGTGAGGTCAGGGGGATCCTGATGGCACTGATACCTCTATGAATGGCACAAACTCAGCAGCAAAATGTGCCAAATTCTCTCCTTGACCAAAGGGAAATGTCTGTCTTTGCAGTTTATTGTTGGTGCCTCGCTCTGAAATGCTCTTTCCTTTGGCACTTTGTTGTGTGTGGTGATACCATGGGGTGGAAATCCTTTGATAGACATTGATATACGTTCTTTCTAAGCTAAAATAAGTAATTAAGGATCTCAGTCAAAATAAGTAATTAAGGATCTCGGTCATCACAGTGCCCCTGGTAAGCCCAGGTGAACCTTCACACGTTTTCACTGAGGTCAGTGCCCACCCAGAGTGGGGCACCTCGCTGGGGTGAAGGGGCCAAGAAGACCCTCTGCCTCTGTACCTGCAAGACAATTCCACCTTTTCCAAGGTCCTTTGTGCTCCACAGGTCCTAATCTTTGCAAATAGGAAAAGAAATATTCCAGAAAGGCAAAAAAAAAAAATAATTTTTTTAAGGCAGTTATTTCTTTTTTCTCTTCTGGGATATTCTCAAAATTCCAACAAAATCCATCACTCGAGCTTGTACAATCCCCCAAAGCTCTGGATTTAGGCCATATTTGGCATATATTCCCTCCATCCTGGTCACTGCACAAACAGTCACCCTTGCTCAGATGTGATCCTGCTGAGGGACCATCAGCAGAGGGAGATGGAAGATTTTTTTTCTCCTGTTGTGATCTCAGCTGACAAAAGGATAATGTGAGTATGGAATTTCTGCCAAAATAAGAAGCAGCATTTTCATCCCCCTTTTCAACTGATTTCAATAAACACTTGAAAAAATGCGGTGCAAAAGATGAGGGGAAAAATACTATTTCCAAACCATCTTTAGTCTGAATTTAGAGCCTTTTACAGAAGGTAACATGAAATATGAAGTACAAGTTAATGGCAAAGCAGCAGCAAATCCGCAGAGAAGGCCCATATTCCATGTTTTAAGAGGAAGATATGATACAAACAAACATCCAGAGCTGATTAATAATTAGTGGACCTGATTTATTAAAAAAAAAATCACCTTTATATAATTCTAGGAGGAAAAAATAATGATAAAAATGCAGTTTTAGGGCTCCAACAATGTAAAGGCACCTCAGTGCAAATATGATTTGGGACCAACAGGGTTGTCTTGCTTGAGTTTATCAGCCAGAGCCTGAGTTCACTTCCCAGTTTGGTTCTTCTTCATGTTCAAAAGATGTTCCCTGTGGAAATACCAGGGAAATGCAACAACCTCATTTGTAAGGAAAAGATATAAATATAGGTCAGGATACATTTTAGCCAAAAGATGGTGCTAATGTATCTATGGAGTTGGTTAGAGCCAAAACTGAGCAGGGAAAACAACAAATTTACCATGCTGTGCTGCATTTTAAATAATGAATGAGCATTTATATTTGTGGCGAGGCATTTTGAATGTAAACAATTTAATTTTTACAGATAACATTCAGCTTCTATAAAAGGATTATTAGATATTAGCAGCTTGGTGGGATATTTCAGAGCTAAATAGGATAAATGAAAATATACTTGCATAGTAACCTTTAAATTTCACCATTATATTGCAGTTCCTCTGATTGGCCTCTCTTCTCAGTAAAAAAAAATTGAAATTATTGAGAGAGCACAGAAAATACCAGAAACATGTAAGTAGGATAAAGAGACTTTCTGCCTCACCATATTTGCATGTTTACTTCGATTTATGTTAAATTCAACTCTCTTCGTCCCTGGCTTTAGATGCAACATGATTTTTAAAGTCCTACGAAGCTGCACATTTCCAAAAGACAAAAGCTCCCCATAATACTGGAGAATTTGACTGTCACTTATTGGCAGAGACACGAAGACTCTCAAAATTATTATGGAATTGAGTTTTTCCTGTGTCCTCTAAGAATTCTGCTGTCAAATCCCAGAGAAGAAAGTGTTGGCAGGACTTACTCACTCTGCCACTTCTCCATCTCCCCTCCCTACACCTCCAAGTTATTCCTGTCAAACAGCAGCTCCTCCAGGCTCATAAAATGCTCCTCCAAGTGTACATTTTACTTTTTAATTTTACCAGAATGCATTAAATTTTAAACAGTTTAAAACATAATCTTGGGGACATACTCCTCCCCTCTCGTGCCTTGCACTGGTGTTTCTTATTTTTCTGTCCTGATCTTATTTCTGGTCACCAGGCGCTGGTGCAGAGTCTCAGTGCTGACAGAAAAAACTGAGAAGATCTTTCATGGAAAACCAATTCTTCCATATCCTTTTATCCATGTGCATTTTTGGACAGCACCAGGCAGACCATTCAGAAATGGTGCCATTCATCGTTTGATTTTACCTTTGATTTTCCAGTTCATGGTTTAAACCATAGGAGGTGACATTCCAACCTTGTCCTCGAGGTGGAATCATCTTTTCCAATCCTCTGTGGTGGGGGAAGTCCCAACTCACCCATGAGGGGGTGAGGAGGGAAGAGCAGAAGGTGGTGGGGGCTGGCAGAGGCTGGGGATGGACAATCAAGGATGTACCGAGTTAGGCCTGGCTTATTTCAGCCTCTTCCTGCAATGCTGAGCTGTGACATTGTTGTGTGGAGAGAAGAAGGCTCCAGGGAGACCTCAGAGCCCCTTCCAGTGCCTAAAGGGGCTCCAAGAGAGCTGGAGAGGGCATTTTGGCAAGGGAGTGACACAACAAGGGGGAATGCCTTCAAACTGCCAGAGGGGAAGTTAGATGGGATATTGGGAAGGAATTCCTGTCTGTGAGGGAGGGGAGGCCCTGGCACAGGTTGCCCAGAGAAGCTGTGGCTGCCCCTGGATCCCTGGAAGTGTCCAAGGCCAGGTTGGACGGGGCTTGGAGCAACCTGGGCTGGTGGAAGGTGTCCCTGCCCATGGCAGGGGGTGGGATGAGATGGGTTTTAATATCCCTTCCAACCCAACCCATTCCATGATTCTATGACACCAGAGTGCTCCTCAGAGCTGGGACGGCATTTTAAGCACCTTCTATTTTTGAGGCTGTTCTTGAATTTTGGCAGTGGGCCTGGTTATTCCAGCAGGCAAATGAAAAGCTCCAGCTGTTTTTTTTCATGTATTTGTTCCTATCCCTTCGGTTGTTAAATGGTGTCAGCAGCTTCTCAGACATGGCTGCTGCACTTTTGTCATTTGAAAAGGGGGAAAACATAACAGCAGCTTCAGGATCTCCTGGTCCCTTCCCCTCAGCAGGTGTGTAACCCCCCGAGCTGGTCACAAACTCAGTGGAATTAAAAAGCACGAGCCAGTTTTGAAAAAATTGGCAGCATGATTCTATTTTTTGCTTGGTTATTTGCTTGGTTTTAATTAATAGTTGCATTTTTGAAAGGGAAGAACAAACAGTCTTGAATTGTTTTGACTTTTAAGGGTGCAAAGTGGTCATTAGTGTAGACTGAGCTGTTTTGTGGAAATGACTCACAACTTTTTGAGATTTCTGGCCTCAGAGCAGTTCTATGTATTTACCAAAACAGATACATTTGACCTAAATTAATATGCATATATCACATATCTACATTTTCCTGCAAATTTCCGTGTTAAACCAAGCTGACCAGCTTCAGGAGGTGATGGTTTTACACCCTGACTTTTACTTTCCTTCTGTGGTTATTTCTGTTTTGTTTGCTTTGCAAACATGTCCATCTGTAATTGTAACATCTGATGATAAATATAACTAAAAATGCTTCTTCAGCTTCATATCAGGTTTTTGTTGAATGCACAGAAAGCACCTTTACCATCTACATCCCTGACAGGGTTATTAATGGAGGGAAGAATTTGTGTGGAACAAGCTTTGGCTTTTCCTCATTATTGCCCCACAGGAATTGTTACCACAAATGGGTAACAACAGAAAAGATATTAAACATCAGAAAATTCAATGTGAAGGGATAGCTCAGGTTTTAAAACTTGTACATCGCAAAGTCTAAAAATACTCAAGAGCAGGTTTTTCCTGACTTGAAAGGGAAGAAACTTTTCCATCTGACTTTTCATAGACAAGGTCAAATGCTTATAATAGAAAATGAACATAAATTCTAAACCAGTTCGGAAATTGGAAAGATTGATTTTTTTTTTTACACATATGGCAATTAGTCGGGATAAAGAAGCCAGCAGCTCTAAATATGCACTGCTAGAAATGGTGTACAGCATTTTCTTGTGATGGTATTTCCAGCAACTGCAAAACGAAATCAGAGTGATGTATGACTTTAAATCCAGAGGTGTTATTAGACTTTTCAAATGAAATTATGGCTGAATAAAACTCCTGCAATTCCACCTTAGGACATTTACCTGCTTCATTTAAATATTCTTACTTTTGTGAAAAAAAAATTATAATTGCCTGCATAAGGTTATTTTTATTTTTTCTTTTTAAATCCCTGTTGGTTTCTGACAAGTTTCTGGTTGTTACCTTTAGGTTTCTCTCATCAAAAATGCTGGAATTTGCCTGAGTTTATGTTGTGTTATGCCTACCTAGTTTCTTTATGATTTATAAGGGAGGAGTGAATTGCTTTTTTTCTTTTCCCTGCGTGCTGAAGCTCCCCTGGCTGCCTCCTGCTCCTCTGCAGCCTGATGTGGAACAGGAACACGTGCTTGGGCTGCTTTGCACAAATGAGATGGAACACCAGAAAATCCAGGTGGGAAATGAGCAATGTATATGCACAGAGAGCCATTTGCACGGGTTTACAGGCAGTACTGAGTCCTGTATGTTAGATTGGGTTTGAGCTGATTTAGAAAATAAAAATGGTGACAGCTGGTGCCAAGAGACTTTTGCTGTTGTTCAGAAATAATTGTAACTGTGGAGCTGATTTAGACCCATAACTGTGGACACAGAGAGAGCCTTTTTGTGTCCTTCGAATTTTTATGACCTTTTAAGGTCAGGTGCAGATGTGTGCACTGGGAGAGAAGGGGATGGAATAGGAACCAAAAGCTGTTACAATGGTGTTCTGACATTTTTATCAGACACAAATATACCAGGGCAGTGGGCACAGCCCCAACCCTGCCAGAGCTCCAGGAACGTATGGACAACGCTCTGAGGGACAGGGTGGGATTGTTGGGGTGTCTGTGCAGGGCCAGAGGTTGGGCTGGATGGTCCTTGTGGGTCCCTTCCAGCTCAGGAGATTTTATGATTCAGATCCTCCTATTAATGCACTGTATATAATCCATATTATCTACAGTTCATTGCTGTTCTGCTTCCTGATGTCTCCTAACTGAGAAAATCAGCTGCTCTTGGTCCCAGCCAACTGCAAACAGGTTTCCTTTATGGACAGAATCAACAACTTCCAGCTGGTTGCAGCTGGGAAAGAGCAGCATTCCCATTTCTGTTGTTTTCTGTTGTAGTTAATCCTTAGAAGTGAAAGGAGATGCACTTCTCCTGATGGAGTGCAAGAACTGGAGAATAAGGGAACAGCAAAGCATGTGAGAGCCATGTGAACCCGAGAGAGGTCCAGGGATGAACCATGTGTTGGGGCAAGATAATATTTTAGGAACAGCACGACTACCTGCCATCAATCAAGGAATTAAGGAAAATAAAAAAATTAACTCGCTTTTCCATCACTACAAGTGGCCCCAGTTTAATGGAGCTCCAGAGAAGATATGGAAGTGCTGCTTTTGTTGGAAATAATTTCAGATTCTGCCTTTTGTTCAGAGTTTAATGCTGGCAGTGGCCAAAAAGGAGATGTGAATTAGCACTGCCAGCCAGGTGAATGCTGTGTGGCTTTCAAATTGCTGTTGATGGGGGTTGTTTGGCTTCTCCTCCTCCTTTTCTTTTGTGCCTCGCCCTGTGCTGAAGTGAACTGTACAGGGTGCAGAGATTTTAAAGGGATTATTGATATTCAGATGTTAGTTCTGCTTAGCAAAGCGAGAAGGTTTGAATTCCCCACCCTACTGGGAGAGGTCACTGGAAAGAGTGATGTCCAGGAGATGTCAGGGAAGTTAGGAGTTGGATTTGATGATCCTTGAGGGTCCCTTCCAACTCAGCATATTTTGTGATTCTGTGATCCTGGGAAGTTAAAATCTTCTTCACGTTATTTAGGGAAGGTTTCCTTTCCCTTTCCTTTTCCCTTTCCTATTCCCTTTCCTTCCCCTTTCCTTTCCCTTTTCTTCCCCTTCTCCTTCCTCTTCCTCTTCGTCTTCCCTTTTCCCCTTCCCCTTTCCCTTTCCCCTTCCCCTTTCCCTTTCCCCTT